ACAAATCCCACATAAGTCATCCCACACTTCTACCAAACTCCTCAAATCCCATAAGTCATCCCACACTTCTACCAGACTCACAAATCCCACATAAGTCATCCCACACTTCTACCAGACTCCACAAATCCCACATTAAGTCATCCCACACTTCTACCAGACTCCACAAATCCCACATAAGTCATCCCACACTTCTACCAACTCCACAAATCCCACATAAGTCATCCACACTTCTACCAGACTCCACAAATCCCACATAAGTCATCCCACACTTCTACCAGACCCCACAAATCCCACATCAAGTCATCCCACACTTCTACCAGACTCCACAAATCCCACATTAAGTCATCCCACACTTCTACCAGACTCCACAAATCCCACATAAGTCATCCCACACTTCTACCAGACTCCACAAATCCCACATAAGTCATCCCACACTTCTACCAGACTCCACAAATCCCACATAAGTCATCCCACACTTCTACCAGACTCCACAAATCCCACATTAAGTCATCCCACACTTCTACCAGACTCCACAAATCCCACATTAAGTCATCCCACACTTCTACCAGACTCCACAAATCCACATGAAGTCATCCCACACTTCTACCAGACTCCACAAATCCCACATTAAGTCATCCCACACTTCTACCAGACTCCACAAATCCCACATTAAGTCATCCCACACTTCTACCCAACTCCACAAATCCCACATTAAGTCATCCCACACTTCTACCAGACTCCACAAATCCCACTAAGTCATCCCACACTTCTACCAGACTCCACAAATCCACATAAGTCATCCCACACTTCTACCAGACTCCACAAATCCCACATAAGTCATCCCACACTTCTACCAGACTCCACAAATCCCACATAAGTCATCCCACACTTCTACCAGACTCCACAAATCCCACATAAGTCATCCCACACTTCTACCAGACTCCACAAATCCCACATGAAGTCATCCCACACTTCTACCAACTCCACAAATCCCACAAAGTCATCCCACACTTCTACCAGACTCCACAAATCCCACATAAGTCATCCCACACTTCTACCAGACTCCACAAATCCCACATTAAGTCATCCCACACTTCTACCAGACTCCACAAATCCCACATAAGTCATCCCACACTTCTACCAGACTCCACAAATCCCACATAAGTCATCCCACACTTCTACCAGACTCCTCAAATCCCACATAAGTCATCCCACACTTCTACCAACTCCACAAATCCCACATAAGTCATCCCACACTTCTACCAGACTCCACAAATCCCACATAAGTCATCCCACACTTCTACCAGACTCCCAAATCCCACATTAAGTCATCCCACACTTCTACCAGACTCCCAAATCCCACATAAGTCATCCCACACTTCTACCAGACTCCACAAATCCCACATTAAGTCATCCCACACTTCTACCAGACTCCACAAATCCCACATTAAGTCATCCCACACTTCTACCAAACTCCACAAATCCCACATTAAGTCATCCCACACTTCTACCAGACTCCACAAATCCCACATCAAGTCATCCCACACTTCTACCAGACTCCACAAATCCCACATTAAGTCATCCCACACTTCTACCAGACTCCACAAATCCCACATGAAGTCATCCCACACTTCTACCAGACTCCACAAATCCCACATAAGTCATCCCACACTTCTACCAGACTCCACAAATCCCACATTAAGTCATCCCACACTTCTACCAACTCCACAAATCCCACTAAGTCATCCCACACTTCTACCAGACTCCACAAATCCCACATTAAGTCATCCCACACTTCTACCAGACTCCACAAATCCCACATAAGTCATCCCACACTTCTACCAAACTCCACAAATCCCACATAAGTCATCCCACACTTCTACCAGACTCCACAAATCCCACATAAGTCATCCCACACTTCTACCAACTCCACAAATCCCACATAAGTCATCCCACATTCTACCAACTCCACAAATCCCACATAAGTCATCCCACACTTCTAACCAACTCCACAAATCCCACAGTAAGTCATCCCACACTTCTACCAAACTCCTCAAATCCCACATGAAGTCATCCCACACTTCTACCAGACTCCTCAAATCCCACATGAAGTCATCCCACACTTCTACCAGAATCCACAAATCCCACATGAAGTCATCCCACACTTCTACCAAACTCCACAAATCCTACATGAAGTCATCCCACACTTCTACCAGACTCCACAAATCCCACATGAAGTCATCCCACACTTCTACCAGACTCCACAAATCCCACTTGAAGTCATCCCACACTTCTACCAGACTCCACAAATCCCACATGAAGTCATCCCACACTTCTACCAGACTCCTCAAATCCCACATGAAGTCATCCCACACTTCTACCAAACTCCTCAAATCCCACATGAAGTCATCCCACACTTCTACCAGACTCCACAAATCCCACATGAAGTCATCCCACACTTCTACCAGACTCCTCAAATCCCACATGAAGTCATCCCACACTTCTACCAGACTCCACAAATCCCACATCAAGTCATCCCACACTTCTACCAGACTCCACAAATCCCACATCAAGTCATCCCACACTTCTACCAGACTCCACAAATCCCACATTAAGTCATCCCACACTTCTACCAGACTCCACAAATCCCACATTAAGTCATCCCACACTTCTACCAAACTCCACAAATCCCACATTAAGTCATCCCACACTTCTACCAGACTCCTCAAATCCCACATCAAGTCATCCCACACTTCTACCAGACTCCTCAAATCCCACATTAAGTCATCCCACACTTCTACCAGACTCCACAAATCCCACAATGAAGTCATCCCACTTCTACCAGACTCCACAAATCCCACATAAGTCATCCCACACTTCTACCAGACTCCACAAATCCCACATTAAGTCATCCCACACTTCTACCAACTCCACAAATCCCACATTAAGTCACCACACTTCTACCAGACTCCACAAATCCCACATTAAGTCATCCCACACTTCTACCAGACTCCACAAATCCCACATTAAGTCATCCACACTTCTACCAGACTCCATCAAATCCCACATTAAGTCATCCCACACTTCTACCAAACTCCACAAATCCCACATCAAGTCATCCCACACTTCTACCAAACTCCACAAATCCCACATAAAGTCATCCCACACTTCTAAACAAACTCCACAAATCCCACATGAAGTCATCCCACACTTCTACCAAACTCCTCAAATCCCACATGAAGTCATCCCACACTTCTACCAGACTCCTCAAATCCCACATGAAGTCCTCCCACACTTCTACCAGAACTCCTACAAATCCCACATGAAGTCATCCCACACTTCTACCAAACTCCACAAATCCCACATGAAGTCATCCCACACTTCTACCAGACTCCACAAATCCCACATGAAGTCATCCCACACTTCTACCAGACTCCACAAATCCCACATGAAGTCATCCCACACTTCTACCAGACTCCACAAATCCCACATGAAGTCATCCCACACTTCTACCAGACTCCATCAAATCCACATGAAGTCATCCCACCCTTTACCAACTCCTCAATCCCACATCAAGTCATCCCACACTTCTACCAAACTCCACAAATCCCACATTAAGTCATCCCACACTTCTACCAGACTCCACAAATCCCACATTAAGTCATCCCCACACTTCTACCAGACTCCTCAAATCCCACATGAAGTCATCCCACACTTCTACCAGACTCCTCAAATCCCACATCAAGTCATCCCACACTTCTACCAGACTCCTCAAATCCCACATCAAGTCATCCCACACTTCTACCAGACTCCTCAAATCCCACATCAAGTCATCCCCACACTTCTACCAGACTCCACAAATCCCACATTAAGTCATCCCACACTTCTACCAAACTCCACAAATCCCACATTAAGTCATCCCACACTTCTACCAGACTCCACAAATCCCACATCAAGTCATCCCACACTTCTACCAGACTCCTCAAATCCCACATCAAGTCATCCCACACTTCTACCAGACTCCACAAATCCCACATGAAGTCATCCCACACTTCTACCAGACTCCACAAATCCCACATTAAGTCATCCCCACACTTCTACCAAACTCCACAAATCCCACATTAAGTCATCCCACACTTCTACCAAACTCCTCAAATCCACATCAAGTCATCCCACACTTCTACCAAACTCCACAAATCCCACATGAAGTCATCCCACACTTCTACCAAACTCCACAAATCCCACATTAAGTCATCCCACACTTCTACCAAACTCCACAAATCCCACATGAAGTCATCCCACACTTCTACCAAACTCCACAAATCCCACATGAAGTCGTCCCACACTTCTACCAAACTCCACAAATCCCACATGAAGTCATCCCACACTTCTACCAAACTCCACAAATCCCACATGAAGTCATCCCACACTTCTACCAAACTCCACAAATCCCACATTAAGTCATCCCACACTTCTACCAAACTCCTCAAATCCCACATCAAGTCATCCCACACTTCTACCAAACTCCACAAATCCCACATGAAGTCATCCCACACTTCTACCAAACTCCACAAATCCCACATGAAGTCATCCCACACTTCTACCAAACTCCACAAATCCCACATGAAGTCGTCCCACACTTCTACCAGACCCCACAAATCCCACATCAAGTCGTCGCACACTTCTACCAAACTCCACAAATCCCACATGAAGTCATCCCACACTTCTACCAAACTCCACAAATCCCACATTAAGTCATCCCCTTAGACTCCTCAAATCCCACATGAAGTCATCCCACACTTCTACCAGACTCCTCAAATCCCACATTAAGTCATCCCCACACTTCTACCAGACTCCTCAAATCCCACATCAAGTCATCCCACACTTCTACCAGACTCCTCAAATCTCACATCACGTCATCCCACACTTACACCAAACTCCACAATTCCACCCGCCAGTTTTCTAACATAATCGTGTGTTTCTGGTGTTGTTGTTATCAGACTCCCAAGATGACTTCAATGCATCCTTGCGTGAGTTTACACGAGTATAACAAACCTTTGTCTTTAGTGATCGTACCGGTTGAATGCGCGACATGGAGAGAGACAAACACGGCAAATGATCAGTGAACGTTGAGCGGAAGATGTCTGGACTGTATGTTGGTAGCGATTGTGAGATATATTACCGAGTACGTTCCATTAACCAGCACACAGCAGAGCGTCGGAACGCCGTCGTCACTGGTAGACTGACATCTATGCCAAGGAAGGCAGATGCAGAAAATCGGCAAAGTGCTTTTTTTAAAATTAATTTATATTTTTTAATAGGAAAAAAAAATATTCAAAACCTCTATCATGTTTTTTTCAATAGCCGGTTAAACGTAATGTAACGCAACCGGTGGTTCGCCTACTATTTCAAGATTGGCCTTCAAAGGAATGTGGAATGTCCACCAACGGCTTAAGTCTACAGAAGCGTGTTGAAGCAAACGGTGGAGTGTTTGCTGAAACACGTTAATATTATGAATCCTTGATCGTTTCTGCGTGGATTAAATATCGGCAGTTCTATAGTTTTGACAGATTTTGTCGTACGTACTAACTGGATGGCCCCTTACTCCACGCGTGGGAGTGTGATGTCCTCTAATGTGTGCAACAGAGATCACTCCAACAAGGGGTCTCAGAGGTAGCTCTGTTATGTCCGGTTCCACGGGCCGTTCTCTGACACGAAGGGCTGCACTGCTGTGAGAGGTCGGAGTGTGAATAATTTGCCCTGACGCCGATACAACGATTAGAATTAGAGAAAAAATACTCGGCAAAGTCAACATACTTCACTCATATTACAGTCCTAAGGTTCTGAAAAGCTCATATTTGTCATTATGTAATTACTTAATATTTTAATGGTTAATTTCACGTGATAAAAAAAACCACGTGAAGCATCAACCAGCCCTTGTGAATCATCAAGTGAAGCAGCATTAATCTGTTTATGTTTTATTGCAGTACGCTACCTGGAGTGGCTCATAGGATTTGGAAAAAGGCGAAATTCTATCGGTAATTTTTTAAAATACATTATACATTTAATTCAGCAACTTATCTTAGAGCAACCTTTTTTTATTCTAAACGGCGCCAAATGAGTTTTTGTTGTTATTGTTGTTGTTACAATTGTAAAAATGCGGCATCGTATTTATACTGACATGTACAGTATCTGTTGTGTTCATGGTAATAATTTGCGACCTTTAAATTGTAGCTTTTTGTAGCCAATTGAAACAAAAAAAATCCATAATTACTTTTCGGTTAAACCACGTACGAGTTTTATACCAAATATCTTGTCGTCGCCATGTTTACACGTTCATTGTTATTTGTATGTGGACAGTGTATCGATCACATTTTGACCGATGCAAACTCCTCCTCCCTCCACCATCCTCCTCCTCCTTCCTCCACCTTCCACCATCCTCCACCTCTCTCCCCCATCCTCCCACCACCATCCTCCACCATCCTCCACCATCCTCCTCCTTCCCCCACCATCCTCCACCATCCTCCACCTCCCTCCACCATCCTCCTCCTCCCTCCACCATCTTCCACCTCCCTCCACCATCTTCCACCTCCCTCCACCATCCTCCTCCTCCCTCCACCATCCTCTTCCTCTCTCCACCATCCTCCAAACTCCCTCCACCATCCTCCACCATCCTCCTCTGTCCACCATCCCTCACCTCCCTCCACCATCCTCCTCCTTCCTCCACCATCCTCCACCATCCTCCTCTGTCCACCATCCTCCACCTCCCTCCACCATCCTCCTCCTCCCTCCACCATCTTCCACCTCCCTCCACCATCTTCCACCTCCCTCCACCATCCTCCTCCTCCCTCCACCATCCTCCTCCTCCCTCCACCATCCTCCTCCTCCCTCCACCATCCTCCTCCTCCCTCCACCATCCTCTTCCTCTCTCCACCATCCTCCAAACTCCCTCCACCATCTTCCACCTCCCTCCACCATCCTCCTCCTCTCTCCACCATCCTCCAAACTTCCTCCACCATCCTCCACCATCCTCCTCTGTCCACCATCCCTCACCTCCCTCCACCATCCTCCTCCTTCCTCCACCATCCTCCACCATCCTCCTCTGTCCACCATCCTCCTCCTTCCTCCACCATCCTCCTCCTCCTCCCTCCACCATCCTCCTCCTCTGTCCAACATCCTCCACCTTCATCCACCATCCTCCTCCCTCCACCATCCTCCTCCTCCTCCCTCCACCATCCTCCTCCTCTGTCCAACATCCTCCACCTTCATCCACCATCCTCCTCCCTCCACCATCCTCCTCCCACCACCATCCACCATCCTCCTCGTCCCTGCACCATCTTGCTCTTCCCTCCACCTCCTTCCTCCACCAAGAAGTGAGCAGACGATGTTTGTTGCACCACGTGGAAACATAGACAAGCGGTGTTTACACATCCCATCAGGCACACAGCCTTCTGGGAGTACAATTGACCAAGAAAAAACTCCACACACTCGTTTTGTTTGGTTCTCTTCGGTAAAGTCACATAGATAGAAAAATTGTGATAAAAAATTAAGTAAATAAAAATAAATAAAAACATTAATGTAGACTGTAGCCTGATTCTTAATCGTAGTGAGTGTACTGGCAGTCTATAATGTAGACTGTAGCCTGGTTATTAAGCTGAGTGAGTGCACTGTCAGTCTATGATGTAGACTGTAGCCTGGTTATTAAGCTGGGTGAGTGTACTGGCAGTCTATAGTGTAGACTGTAGCCTTGTTATTAAGCTGGGTGAGTGTACTGGCAGTCTATGGTGTAGACTGTAGCCTGGTTATTAAGCTGGGTGAGTGTACTGGCAGTCTATAATGTAGACTGTAGCCTGGTTATTAAGTTTGGTGAGTGTACTGGCAGTATATAATATAGACTGTAGCCTGGTTATTAAGCTGGGTGAGCGTACTGGAAGTCTATAATGTAGACTGTAGCCTGGTTATTAAGTTTGGTGAGTGTACTGGCAGTCTATAATGTAGACTGTAGCCTGGTTATTAAGCTGGGTGAGTGTACTGGCAGTCTACGATGTAGACTGTAGCCTGGTTATTAAGCTGGGTGAGCGTACTGGAAGTCTATAATGTAGACTTATTCTTGATTCTTTCGGTAATAAAAAATTAAATAAGAATAATTCAAAAATAAAATTTAAATAAAAAAATTAAGATAAAAATTTCAAACAAAAACCACGACGTGTCGATCACAACACAATGCGATCGTCTTCAGGAGGAAAGAGGGGGATGGTCACCTAAGGCCACGGTTTATAAAGGTTTAAAAAATGGCGTGGCACAAGAGTAAGAGCTCGTGCGGCACAACGAAGTGGGCGGGGCATATGTACCCTGGGGTCAGAGAGCACCAATGAGAAGCACGGAACGTGCCGTGCCCTGGGGTCAGAGAGCACCAATGAGAAGCACGGAACGTGCCGTGCCCTGGGGTCAGAGAGCACCAATGAGAAGCACGGAACGTGCCGTGCCCTGGGGTTAGAGAGCACCAATGAGAAGCACGGAACGTGCCGTGCCCTGGGGTTAGAGAGCACCAATGAGAAGCACGGAACGTGCCGTGCCCTGGGGTTAGAGAGCACCAATCAGAAGCACGGAACGTGCAGTGCCACAGCACGTCTCGGTGTCAGAACGAAGTGGGCGGGGCATATGGTAAGACAGCCATAAAACGACACAAATCAAGTCACGACTTGACCTGTTCTCCCTCGACAAGAAAACACAACTTAAGTCATGACCCAAAGTGGTTGATGACATCTTTACAATGATTGGTGACAGACTGTAAAGACTGTATAGACTGCAAGTCCTCGCTTAACGCGTTGCTGTGTTCACACGAGAACGCGCTGTTGCTGTAACGCGGTTCTTCCTTTTGGGAACGCTTTTTCGCACAACGCGGAACGCGCGCCGTTATAACGCCATTCATGAGCGGTCGATGACGAACTACTTTCTTGAGCTGCGCGGTGTAGTGATACAATGCGCGGGATGAAACAGTAACGCGGTGGCGTTCCCCCAGTTATGTTTCCCACCATCCCAACGTGCGTAGTAGTCGTCGTGGTGATACGTCGCATCTCGCCAAACTTTATCGAGACATTATTTACGGGGAAATTGTTTTCAAGCGAACGCGTTTTTCGCTTTACTCGGCACTTTTCAGCAACGCATCTACGGAAGAGCGCTCTAACGAGTCGGCGTTCTGTGGAGTCGCGCTGAGCGAGGTCTGCCTGTGTTCACAAACGTTTGACTTCATCATCGTGCTTGCTGCTGGTGGGACTGAATCGGATCTCTCGTTCCACTGTTAAACTTGGCAACTTAAAGTAGCAACAAAGACGAGCCCCTGTGTGCAAGTTTGGTCTTCCTGCGATGCAAGTTACAGACCTCTGTGCAATCACAATACCACCGATGTTGCTTCCCAGCGGGTAGAATTTCTCTGCTCTCACCTGACTAAAGGTTAAGGGTGGCCACCTTTCCCCACGTAGACCGAGGCACGGAAATATTTTTCAGTCGGCCTCGCTCGAATGATCAGAATTGTGCATTTAAGACTGCAATAAGGTTGAACACCAGATCTCGGGAGCAAATCCGTTTCTGACACGTGAACGCAGATGCCAATTCCCGGACTCTCCAGGTCAAATCTAAATAGTAGGTCAACCCAGCCGAAGGAACATACGCCGTACATTTAAGTAAATCCAAGAGCATGGCAGATTTGAGATTGTTTATCTTGTATTTCAGTTGGATATTTATTTTGAAATGAACGTGCTGAATCCACTTCCTGGCTCACCTTGAAAACACAAAATCATAATTTGCGTCACTGTGTGGAGAATATAAGTAACAAAATAAATAAGTGAACGATATGCCTCATATCTGTCACTCCAAATAAAAAATAAAAAAAGATTTTTTTTGTAAACATCGCATCAGTGCATATTTTCAGCAGCATTTGTTCAGCAACACTCCAGACCGGTTTTGAGATTCAGTGCCTCATCAGCAGAGTCAGGTTGGCTCGAACCCATATTGGTACATTTCCAGATGTTTACAGGCAAAGACCATCCCTGTTATCGTCTTGGTTCATTCCGTAAAGTCACGTAGAAGGGAAATAATAAAATAATAAAAATAAAACAATAAAATATAATTATCACGACGTTTCGGCCACAACGCAAGCAGCCGTCCTCAAGTGAAGACCAGGTCTGTCGGGGAGACAGCGTCTGAATGACGCTGCTTGCGTTGTGGCCGAAACGTCGTGAGAATTATTTTATTATGTTTTATTTTTATTATTTTATTATTTCCCTTCTACGTGACTTTACCGAAAAAAAACAAGAAGATGAATCCCTGCAGTCACGAAAGCTTTAAATCGAAACCCTCCCTGTTAGTTATGGGTTCTAGTTCGACACACATCTATCCGGACTAATTTTGGCGTACACTTAAACATCAGAGCATGTTTGTTTGCATGTTCACCACAATTACCGTGTGTGGTTAATGCAGACTTGATTCCTGGGAAAAAGGTTTATATTTGGTGTTTGGACATCTTAACACCTCTTTATTTTCTCTTAATTTTGGAGCTTTCGTGACTGCAGGAATTATTCTTTGGTTCTTTCGGTAAAGTCACGTATAAAGATAAAATAATACATTAAATAATAGCATACGACGTTTTGATTGCAACACAAGCAATCATCATCAGGTATAAATGAAATAGCAACGAAAAATCTAACCAGAAAACTATAGACAGACATATAAGCAGACAGATATCACCAAGATACATAGAGAGAGCAACCCAGGTACAGAGAGGGGTGATCGTCTCTGTGGGGTGGCCTTAAATAGACAGATGGGGGCGGAGGCAGAGAGAGGGAGGGGGTAGGGAAAACATTTACATGTCAATGAGTACGAAGAGACGCGTAGTAAAGTAAGAGAGAGGGAGAAAGAACACACTAAATTAAATAACCTAGAAAGGGTAAACCCCTATTATAATATTTTCATACGTATACACTGCTATTCATTCAGCCATAACGAGAAGGACAGGGTGGTTTGAAGTACAGACATGTGCTGCCTAGGGTTGCCATCTCGTCAGGTTTGAACCCGGGCAGTCTGGGAATTGGCATCTGTGCTCGGTCGATGGCAGGAATCCGTTTGTAGTGAGATCTGGTAGCGATATTGCTGTGTTGAACTTCATCATCACAGTGTATGTGGACAGCTTTGATAGACTTGGGCTTTGAGAAATATGCCTGTGTTTGGTCCACAGTGGACATGGTGACAGCCCTACATGTGTGTCCCCCCCCCCCCCCGTCCCATGCCTGTCTCGTGGTTTTCACACGAGGTGGACCTGCTAAGAAGCATCGCCTCCTGTTGTGTTTACAGACGTGAACTGTGGGATTCTGACCGTAGCCAATGCTGTTTGCACTCAAGATCGAGTGGCCAAATGCAGCTGCAATGACGGGTGAGTTGAATGTTGCTTCCTCTACCAGTTACATTTCTATAGGGCCTGAATATGGGAGGCCATTTTCTATTCTCAATCTCCTTGAAGGTGTCCTGCCATAACAGTCATCGGTTTATCCAGTATCTGACACGTGATATGGGCCAGCAGTGGAAAGACCATGGCTCATGATGTGGCCCAGTCTGTGTCCCTGGCAAGGATCCTTTTCGGCGGATAGCCCTGTGTCTCGCTGGGGTCACACGTATCAGGGTCGATAGAGTAGCCCCACTTACGGACGTTGACTTGTGACCTGCCCGACTTAAAGGAGATTCAGGCATACCTAGCTCATCGTATCCGGGACTCAACGCCATCTTATTTTTTTAAATCTCATTGCCCTTTGATTGCAACACCCTGTGTGCTTGAGTTAGTTTCACTTAGATAGATTCTGGCTTTTGTAAAGCCTACGGCCTTTTGTGGAAATGTATGAATGCAGGGCTGGATTCAGGTTCTTGTAGGCCCGAGGCACTTCTGTTTCGTAGGCCTTCAGTGATAACTTTCTCCAATTCCTACTGCTGCTGCCCCATGTTACTCCAGTCGCTGTCACTCCGCTTGTTTCACGCGGTACATCGTCCAGCCGCTGGACAGATGTCGTCACTGCTGATACCGTTCATTGTTAAGTCTGTGACCTCATTCGATGGGAGTGTGCTGTGTGTCGCAGATAAGCAGATTTTAATTGTTATTGGTGCACATTTTTTTGCAATGAAAAAATCTAAAAAAGTTCCCTTCTGGTGTTAATTTCTCTCACCTTATGAAAAAAAAAATATTGATATTGACACGACTCTGCCTCTTTGTATGTACACTGTGCCTATCCTTGCTATATAAATATTTTTATTCAATAAGATATCTTGTTTTTTTTAATCATACAAACAAAAATAAACGTGGTCAAAATTAGTTTTCGTAGCCCTTTAGTTTTTGTAGGCCATAAGCACAGGGCCTTCTGTGCCTATTGGATAATACGGCCCTTATAATGTATATATATAGACCTTCTTTCGCACCGTACATATCCAACCGTGCTAATCGGAGGTGCGAGAATGGCTGTTTGGAAACACGAGCAGCCAATGGGCCCGGGAGATTATTGAGGATTAACAAGTGCCCCGGACCACTTTTGAGGCAAGCGGCACGATTTGCCATGTACCAGTCGACTGCTCTCACACGCACTTCCGTCCCCGGAGGCTCCAAGTGTGGCCTCAACCTGTTTGCAGGTTCCCAATTGAAAGCAGGCAACGTAGATGCGTGATTGTGTGGCTCTGTTGTGATGGGCCACAAGTAACGGGATACTTCTTGCCAAAGATACGTGTTGGTCGGTTCGCCCAACGTCACCTGTCAAGCCAACGGGAGGTGGTCGGATAACCATCCGGAGTGTAAACGTAAGTGGCGCGCTGAAGGCCCCCAGTCTTCTTGCACTTTGTCTCTAAAGGTGCTTGAGTAACCCCCCCCCCCCCCCCACACACACATGACAAATGATGTTGCCCTCTCATTGAGGATCACAAATTAATTATTACTGCTGCTGCTGCTTTCGTGTCACGCAGCAATCTTGACATTTAATTGTTGTATCATTTTACTCTTTTTTGTTCACTTAATTTTTGTTCCATTTGTGAATATTTTGAATTGCCTTTACCTTACACACTGCCTGTCTTCACGAGACAACATAGCTACGGACGCTGCTGTAATGGCAGCGCTGACAACTGGTGGCTGTTTAAGTATGTGTTTACGGTTTGTTCTGTTATCCCAAAAAACAGACATTCGTGGTAGGTTGCCTTGCTTATCTTGTATGTCAATAGCTTTTGTTTTACATTGAACAATTTCACTATATTACTTCAGAGACCAATCATTGTGCCGTGCAATAGAATATCGCGTGTGCTTGCCACCGCGCTGAAGAGCTGTAAATTAGAAGGAAAATAATCTGTCCTTTGCATTTGCAGCGAGGGCGTGCAAAGAGCTGCCGCACGTGCACGGAGGCCAGAAGGAAGGCGATGGCGGCACAGTTGGGAATACCGTTCACTTCAAGTGCAACGAGGGGTAAGGCCCCGCGGAGTCTCGAACTTTGCAACTTCTGGCTGAAGTCACGAGCCGATGGCTCCGCCTGTGACCGGGCTCTGTCCGAGCCGCCCCCTGAGGAGCGCCTTGTAACCCCAGGTGCTGCCTCTGCCGCTTTGATGGCACCCGAGTTTTGTGGAGGATAAAGTTACCCATAATCCTGTCCCACTCCCGGAGGGTTTTGGGTCGGGTGAGCATACTCGTCCGTGTTCAAATCCTACCGGCAACGTCCATCGCTACTTATACTCATTCTTCACGTGTCCTTGGGGCACCGCCCTATGTTTAGTGTGTAACACCGATCGTTTTGCTGGCCATATGGTGCAAGACTCAAAATGTATAATCTCCTTCCGTTCCTCTCTCGAAGCCTCACCACCTCTTCTCCATCGCCCCCTCCACTCCATCCCGTCCCTCCCCTGTAGCCCTTCCATGACCCCCACGTGCCCTCTGTCACGGTCACTCATTCATCGACATTGTGCCCCTGTCATCTAAATCAATCGATTGCTGTTACCGCTTTTAAACTACGTCCAGCGCCTTGAGCTAAGGCGCTCTATCAATATAAAATGAGATGATGAGATTTTGAACGAACACCGTTACGTTGACACACTCCGTTGCATTGCAGTTTCAGACTGGAGGGCGAGAGCACGCTCACCTGCCTTGAGACTAAGGAGTGGTCGTCACCGCCTCCTGTGTGTGACCGTGAGTTACTCACTCTCTCTCTTGTCTCCTTTACAGGGTTTTCCTCACTTCGCATACATTTGTAATGTGAGGTTATGTCCGGGTCGTTGACGTATCACAACTCGTCACGATGATTGGCTCTGCCGGTCCTGGTCCATATCCAATGGGGGGAAGCCTAGGGGCATGGCCCTGACGTAATGGAAAGGTGACAGCTGTAAGTAGAGGATTGGTTCTGCTGGCTTTGGCCACAGCCAATGGGGAGACGAGTCAGGGGCGTGGTCCCGGGAGCTTACGAGGGAGCCTGGACCATTCCATGGAGGCTAACCAGGATTGGTGGAAACGTACCACGTGACCCGGGTATTAAATAGGGGTGGAGACGAACGACACGTGGTCAGAACGGGAACGAACAGAGGAAGGGGGCCACGCGGGAGCGGGGCTCCGGGTTGCCACGTGGCGGTGTGTCTCTCTATCTGTCCCTCTCACGCTGCCTGTCAGCAGCATGAAGGAAAGCTGTAATGCAAAGTTGAATAAAAGACGGATTCCAGAAGTCGCCTCAACGACCTTTATTACACATTGATTGGGCAAATTATCATGGGCTCGTTGTACAAATACGGGCCAGACTGTTGTTCTGAACGTTGAATGCTTCGTACATTTACAACTGTTATGGTTTTTAATTGTATTATCAGGAGCATGGAAATTTGAACCGTGATTACATTTATTCGTCCCTTCAGCTTTCTGCGGAAAACCACCTCCACAGCGTCACGCACAGCTTGCCGTAGCTTACGACCGCAGGGAACTCTACCGCGTGGATCAGTACGCCTACTTCTACTGCGACGAGTACTACAGGGCTCCCTCACCCGGCTTTTACCTGACCTGTAAGGAAGAGGGTGGCCGAACGACTTGGGACACGGACCACCGGCGGTGCAACCGTAAGTCAGTCAGCTGATGCATTAGCGAGGGTGGACATTTTCACAGATGTTGAATGCTGCAACCTTACAATAGGTGTGTTGACATAAACACATTCCTGCCGAGGGAGCTGGTAGGAACGTTGGGTTGCTCGGTCAATGGCCAGGGTCAACGGCGGCGTGGTGTATTCCACAAATATGCCCGACTGTGAGGGCGGGCACAAGCCGGCGTGAGTAGGTTAAACGTTGAGTTTTATAAGGGCACCACGGGGTGACCAGCCCCTCCCCACCCAGCCCCACCCCTCCCACCCCCCACCTAGCTCCACCCTCCCCACCCAGCCCCTCCCCATTCTCCCCACCCAGCCCCTCCCCACCCTCCCCTCCCCACCCAGCCTCTCACTGCACGACGGACGGACGGACACAATAATCCCCTGTGGGTTGGTGTAACCAGAGGTTACTACCAGTATATTTAGAGCTGTGTTGCACCATTTACCTTGGTCTGCAGCAAATTCTGGAATAACTATTGAACTTCACCCAGGTAAATAATGGACTCCATACTTTGACGTAAAGCTTTCGTGACTGCAGGAATTCATATTCTTGGGTCTTTCGGTAAAGTCACGTAGATAGGTTGAAAGAAAATAACAAAAAATAACAAACAAACAAAAACTACGACGTTTCGATCGCAACACAAGCAATCGTCATCAGGAGAAAAATTAGTGGGAAAGCTGCTGAGGCAGGATGTTTTAAAGGTTTGAAATGGGTGTAGCCCATGGGTCAAACTAGCCACACGAGTAGGCCAACATTTTCGGGTGAGTAGTTTACATAATTTAAGATATGCAATATAGTAATTAAATATACTGAAATTAACCATTAATGTCGATACATTCATCACCAGAGGAATCGATTACAGTCCTGGATGGAGCACCTGAAACGCATGAATCACAGCATTATACCACTCTACATCTCGGTGGCGAGATGTTAACAACCTCGCCTGATATACAAGAGGTCGTGGGTTCGATCACATGTTTCTTTCCCCGTGGTCGCGTGTATTTTTCTCCAGGGTCCTCCGGTTTTCCCTCCACGTTTAGAAACGTGCGTTTAGAGTATTTGGCTGCTTTACATTTACACACGATAAGCCACTTCGTTGAGCTATCATTTTTGGCAGCCAGGTCGCTTCTGAAAAACAGCCACACAGCTCAGTGGGGCCTTACCTGGGAAAAATAAAAGAATAGATTTTAGTTTATCACCAAGTCCTTGCAGCAAAGAAACAACTGTACTGTATTTATCTTCTTGGTTCTTTCGGTAAAGTCACGTAAAAGGGAAATAATAATAGAACCAAGAAGATGAATCCCTGCAGTCACGAAAGCTTTAGATCTAAATTTGTACTGTATTTATGCTTATATATGGGCCATAATTGACGAGAAAGGCTCCATTCCATGCCACCACTTTAAATATAGGTGCATCGTATTTGCAGTGTTTCATATACGTTGCTGTGCTGCATTTGAAGGCATCAACAAAGTAACGTGTGGAAGAGTCGCATATCCAGCTCACCTTTATGCGTGCCGCAGCTCAGCGGAGAAGAGTCACCGTAACTCTCTCCGACCTCAATGAGCCCCCCGAAGTGCCATCACATCGCACGACTGCATCGCGCCTCCGATTAGCACGGTTGGCTACGTACGGTGCGAAAGACGCTCAGCATGCACACATCGCATTGAGTGCACGTGAGTGCGTCAAGAACCCGGTAGCATCCACGCTTCTCTCGTTCTGTTCACAGGTGAGGAATGCGTACGCCCTGATCAGATTCCCAACGGGAAGTGGGAGGGGAACGTCACCATTGGCAGCAGCATCACCTACTCGTGCGACGAGCAGTGAGTGGAACTGCTTTGAATTCGCAGTGCGCGAAGCATTGCTTTGCAAAATATTCAGCCAGTCGTGCAGCGAAACTCCCTTTTTCCGGATTCGTAGGGGTTTCTACATGGGCGGTTTCTCGTGACCTTGTTCGTTTATTCAAATTTGACGCATTCTATCTGAGCTATAACCCGCAGATGAGTATGGATGAATAGAATTGCATTTACACCATTGGAACCTCATTTGCCAGTAAAAAATATGATAATTCTTTTTTTACCCTTCTATCTGGCAACAAAACTGACACCTTTTTTACAAGGAGTCATGTTTGCATAGACCACAATACCTGTAGTCATAATGCAAACAAAAAACATAACTCTGATAATGTATGCACTGTCCTTGAAGTTGATTGGTCCACACCCGAGACAGCTTTCCTTAGAGCCTAGTCTCACATGGGTTGGACCAGATGACGCCAAAAGGCACACAACTCATTAGAGTATGAGAGCTCGGGGTAAGCATTTACACCACTGGAACCTCATTTGCCAGTAAAAAAAATTATAATTGGTTGTGCGCCTTTTGGCGTCATCTGGTCCAACCCATGTGAGACTAGGCTCTAAGGAAAGCTGTCTCGGGTGTGGACCAATCAACTTCAAGGACAGTGCATACATTATCAGAGTTGTGTTTTTTGTTTGCATTATGACTACAAGTATTGTGGTCTATGCAAACATGACTCCTTGTAAAAAAGGTGTCAGTTTTGTTGCCAGATAGAAGGATAAAAAACCAATTATCAGAATTGCACTTGCTTTACAATTTTTGGGAGACCAACCCCAGTTAAATATTGAAACAACGTGAAGAACGCGCTGGCACTTCCGTGACACCGCCCCGTTCGCAGGAAGATGTCGGTGCCGCTTGCGGATCCCTCGCTCTTATCCACACAGGGGGAAATTTTTGTCAACGATTCCAAATCACTCGTGCCCTCACCCGTGCGATGGCCCGGGCAATACCGAGAGCGTAGCACTCCGGGAGGGACTTGTCTTCGTAGAGGCGTGGATCGTACAAAACGTTTGCTGCCGCTCGTGGTCGTTTCCTCGAGTCCAGGGGGTCGTCAACCTGCAGCTCCGTGACCCGCCATCTTGTATTCACCCCATAGTGCGTTGCGGATCTTGAATTATTGAGTTCGTTTTGTTACCGAATTCGCAACAAAAATTTGTCTCTTCTCGTTGTTTTGGTTGCTGAGCCTTGGGCCAATCAAAGCAAAAGCTCAGCCGAAGGTTTGTTGTCCTTCTCCGCGCACATCCAATGAGCACGGTCGGCAACGCACGGTGCGAAAGAAGTTCAACATACATACACACATATGTATATCTGAGTTGAGGTCATTTATGGACACTCTAAAATGCGCCGTGGTTGTTGAAAGCGGTGCGAACATGTCAGGCCATGCTAGACGAGCTGTCACCCTAAGTTAATTCACAATCGCGATATTTACCAGCTGACTCTCTGTGCTTGCAAACTGAATATGTCGTAAGACTTTTAGCATTACATTCTGATGTAAAGCTTTCGTGACTGCAGGGATTCATCGTCTTGGTTCTTTCGGTAAAGTCACGTAGAATGGAAATAATAAAATAATAAAAATAAAACATAAAACCGAAACGTCGTGAGAATTATTTTATTATGTTTTATTTTTATTATTTTATTATTTTCATTCTACGCGACTTTGCCGAAAGAACCAAGAAGACTTTAAGCATTATCCATTCGCATGGAAAAAATTGCTAAGGCAAGCTATGCTTCATGTCTGACGATATATTTATCTTGTAAAAACAAGACCGGTCGCTAGTGTATGCGGTATTGTGTTTGGTAAATTAGCTTCCAACAATGTTGTTGTTTTAGTTTCAGACTGGAGGGCGAGAGCACGCTCACCTGCCTAGAGACTAAGGAGTGGTCGTTCCTGCCTCCTGCGTGCGACCGTGAGTTACTCACTCTCTCTCTATCCCGTCTCCTTTACAGGGTCTTTCTCACTTCACATGCACCACTTTCCTATTTGTGCAAATAACCATGAACTCGATTTAAAGCTTTCGTGACTGCAGGGATTCATCTTCTTGGTTCTTTCGGTCGTGAGAATGATTTTATTATGTTTTATTTTTATTATTTTATTATTTCCCTTCTACGTGAATTTACCGAAAGAACCAAGAAGATGAATCATGAACTCATTTACGAATACGGGCCAAACTGTTGTTCTGAACATTAACTGCAGTACATTTCCAACGGTTTGGTTTTGAATGATATTATCAGGAGGAGTGAAACGTGCAACCATGATTCTATTTCTTCGTCCCTTCAGCGTTCTGCGGAAAACCACCTCCACAGCGTCACGCACAGCTTGCCATAGCTTACGACCGCAGGGAACTCTACCGCGTAGATCAGTACGCGTACTTCTACTGCGACGAGTACTACAGGTCTCCCTCACCTGGCTTTTACCTGACCTGCAAGCAAGAGGGTGGCCGAACGACTTGGGACACGGATCACCGGCGGTGCAATCGTAAGTGACGCAGCGGATGGATTGGCGAGGGACGTCCACTCTGGCATTGACATTTCAATGCTCCAGCGCTACATTGCGGGAGCTTAAATCAAGTTGACGTCTCGGTTCTTCCATTCATCGTGGGCTGCAACACGGTGCAAAGGGAGTTGCATCACGGGCTGCAACTTGCAACATTGTTCAGCATTACGCTTTTACTGCTGATCAATCAACAGGGTCGTGATTTGTTGACATCGCAAGGTCTTGATAGGATCACAGTGGCAACTGTCGGCAACGAGATGGTGCAGTTTTCTGAATGAATGTGTGAGATTTTTGAATAATTAAACAATACATAATATCAGCAATGTAGTTGTTTTATACCTTGCCATATTAAAGCAATGTATTGTTCAGTATTTGAAGATATCAACAAAGTAACGTGTGTAAGAGTTGCATATCCAGCTGACCTTCATGCGAGCCACAGCTCAGCGGAGAAGAGTCACCGTAATTCTCTCCGACCTCATTGAGCCCCCCGCAGTGACATCGCATGGCACGACTGCATCACACCTCTGATTAGCATGGTTGCTGTGCCGGATTCAGCTAGTGCGGGGCCTGTAGCATATGTTATAAAGGGGCCCTAAATAAATAAAAACACGTAAATATGAAAACACAACATTTTAACTTACATAGTAAAGCAATTGTATTTTTTCATTTGCTATACAGCCAGATATTACGACAAATCGCTAACCTGAAACACCCAGTCGTTCGTAAAAGTTGAAGGCGGTATAGTGCTATAGTAATAAAGCAAGTGCAGAATCACTGAACCGGAATTGATAGCTTGAAAGCGGTTTAGCGCGGGGCCCTTGAAAGTGCGGGGCCCGTAGCTACAACACGTGCAGCTACTACACATGTTGTAGCTACTACACGTGTTGTAGCTACTACACGTGTAGTAGCTACTACACGTGCGGCTACTACATGTGCCGCTAACTACACGTGTAGTAGCTACGACAAGTGTAGCTTCTACATATGTAGCTACTTTTGCTACTACGATAATCCGGCACTGCACGGTTGGCTACGTACGGTGTGAAAGAAGTTCAACATACATCCACGCACGCATCACGTTGAGTGCACGTGAGTGCGTCAAGAACCCGATAGCATCCACGCTTCTCTCGTTCTGTTCACAGGTGAGGAATGCGAGCGCCCTGATCAGATTCCCAACGGCAAGTGGGAGGGGAACGTCACCACTGGCAGCAGCATCACCTACTCGTGCGACGAGCAGTGAGTGGAACGCTCGGTGCACACACGCTCGGCTCCGTCGTTCGTTCCGCACGCCTCTGAACGATGACTGTGTTCGCTCGTCGTGTTTAGTTTCAGGCTGCAGGGCAACAGAACTCTGGTTTGCCTCTACAATCATCAGTGGTCATCATCGCCCCCCGCATGTAAACGTGAGTAGCTCTCTTTCACTTCGGTTCACTTCCAATAACCCCGTTCCTGTAAGCCCCAAGTACCACGAACTCGCGTTCGACGACCAGGCTAACTGTCCTTCAATACGTTCACAATTGGGGGCCAGCCATTCAGTACGTAGGCATGGAGTGGGGAGGGGGGGTGAAGCCTCGACAATAATTTGTAGACATTGGCCTTCAAATGAGTTAGAAAGTCCGGGCGGTGGACTAACTGTTTGCTTAAACACGTGAATATTATTAATCCTTGGTCGTTTCTGCGTGGATTAAATATCGGCCGTTCTATAGGATTCGGGGGGGGGGGGGGGTGCGTCAGGCGAACATACGCAGGTGGGGGGGGGGGATGTAATAAGTCCGCGTGCGTACAGGAAGGGGGGGATGGGTCAAGTTTTGACAGATCTTTGCGTGCCTACTCAATGGATGGCCCCTGTTTGTTTCTAGATTTGAAGCTTTCGTGACTGCAAGGATTCATATTCCTAGTTTTTTTCGGTAAAGTCACGTAGGTAAAAAATTTAAATTAATAAAAGTAAAATAAAAATCAAATAAAAATCACGACGTTTCGGAGGCAACACAAGCTTCCGTCTTCAGGTGGAACCGTCACAGCCACCTGCAGACAGAAGCTTGTGTTGCCTCCGAAACGTCGTGATTTTTATTTTATTTTTATTTTACTTTAATTAATTTTCATTTTTTTCCTACGTTACTTGATCGAAAAAACCTAAGAATATGGCTCCTGTTTGGTTTCGTATCGGAGGCATGGAAAGTGATCCCACGATTGCGTGTCTCCGTCTCTTCAGCGTTCTGCGGCAAACCACCTTCACAGCCCCACGCGAAGTTTTCTCCAGTGAACGACGACAAACAGCAGTACTTCGAAAACCAGACGGTCCACTTTGACTGCGACGAGGACTACAAGTCTCCGTCAGATGGGTTTGACTTGTACTGCAGAAGAAAGGGTGACATGATGGCTTGGGATGCGGACCACAAGCGGTGCAACCGTAAGTGACGCAGCGGATGGATTGGCGAGGGACGTCCACTCTGGCATTGACATTTAAATGATACAGCGCTACATTGCGGGAGCTTACATAAAGTTTACGTCTTTCCATTCATCGTGGGCTGCAACACGGTGCAGAGAGAGTTGCGTCACGGGCTGCAACTTGCAACATTGCTCAGCATCACGTTTCTACTGCTGCCCACTCAACAGGGTTGTGATTGGTTGACATCGCAAGGTCTTGATTGGATCACAGTGTCAACTGTCGGCAACGAGATGGTTGCGGTTTCTGAGTGAATGTGTGACGTTTTTTGAATAATTAGACGATACATAATATCAGCAATGTAGTTATTTTATACGTTGCCATATTAAAGTAATGTCTATTGATCAGTATTGAAGATGTCAACAAAGTAACGTGTGCAAGAGTTGCATATCCAGCTGACCTTCATGCGAGCCACAGCTCAGCGGAGAAGAGTCACCGTAATTCTCTCCGACCTCATTGAGCCCCCCGCAGTGACATCGCATCGCACGACTGCATCGCAGTGACATCGCATCGCACGACTGCATCGCGCCTCCGATTAGCACGGTTGGCTACGCACCATGCTAAAGAAGTTCAACATACGCACAGACTCACATCACGTTGAGTGCACGTGAGTGCGTCAAGAACCCGGTGGCATCCACGCTTCTCTCGTTCTGTTCACAGGTGAGGAATGCGAGCGCCCTGATAAGATTCCCAACGGGAAGTGGGAGGGGAACGTCACCACAGGCAGCAGCATCACCTACTCGTGCGACGAGCAGTGAGTGGAATGCTCGGTGCACACACGCTCGGCTCCGTTGTTCGTTCCGCACGCCTCTGAACGATGACTGTGTTCGCCCGTCGTGTTTAGTTTCACGCTGCAGGGCAACAGAACTCTGGTCTGCCTCTACAATCGACGGTGGTTATCATCGCCCCCCGCATGTAAACGTGAGTAGCCCCTCTTGTCTCCTTCACTTCGGTTCACTTCCAATAATGCCGTTCCTGTAAGCCCCAAGCACCACGAACTCGCGTACGACGACCAGGCTAACTGTCCTTCAGAATGTCACAACTGTTTGGTTTCGTACCGGGGGCGTGGAAAGTGATCCCACGATTGCGTGTCTCCGTCTCTTCAGCGTTCTGCAGCAAACCACCTCCACAGCCTCACGCGAAGCTTTCTCCAGCGTATGACAACAAACAGCAGTACTTCGAAAACCAGACGGTCCACTTTGACTGCGACGAGGACTACAAGTCTCCGTCAGATGGGTTTGACTTGTACTGCAGAAGAAAGGGTGACCTGATGGCTTGGGACGTGGACCACAAGTGGTGCAACCGTAAGTGACGCAGCGGATGGATTGGCGAGGGATGTCCACTGGCACAAAGTTCATGTCCTAAACGCTCGTAGGTGAAGAAAGGGTACGTTTCGGCAGGCAAACATGGGCCCTTAATTCACGACGCACATTCTGGCTTCAGTTTGTACGTATGTAGGACTCGTACTCGGATTGTCTTTCTCGTCCCGTTTATTTGCTCCTTAAGGTCCACACCTTCTCCTCATCACCGCTCCATGGCCACCCGTTCGCTCCGCCATGCCATCCGCCATCAACGCACTCTAATGTCCCTCCGTTCTCTCTACAGCTCTCCCAGGGTCCGTCGCTCCGCTGCTACCCTGTTCCGTATCTTCTCTGATGCACTGCTACCACTGCTACCCCTCACTCTGTCTCCTCTATCCGCTGCTACCGTACTTGACCTATCTCTCTCTTCCCACTGCTACCGTTATCGTATTCTCTTATTCCTGCTCTCCGCTATTCCGGGCACCATCACTCCAGCTCCCCATCGCTCCAGCTTCCACCAAGACTCCAACCAAGACTCCCCCAAAAGCTCTCGTCTCTCTGTTGCGCTGTGCCTTTTATCCCCGCATCAATTAGTCCCTATTAATTATCTCACCCCTCGGCCCCCAGGCCCCCAGCCTCACGTGACTTTGTTATTGCCGCCAGAGCGGCGCCACTTGTTAATCACTCACCCTCTTAACCAATCACTGGCCTGTGTCCCCGGTTGCCCTTAACACCTGTTACGCCACTTAACGCGTCTCTTCTCACGCCTCAGCAACAACAACATCGTCCTCAAATACCCCCCACTGTACACTTGCTTGTCTACTTAGCAACAGACCCACAGAGCGCGTGGCGCGTGTATTCCAGGTCCTACACGTATGTTGGAATGCGTGTATGTTAAACTCCTTTTGCACCGTTCGTGATAATATAAACGGAGGCGCAGGGGAAGGACAAGAAACTAAACACAAAAGCAGTGATAATTGTTTTTTACCCTTTTCACTGGCAACAAAACTGACACCCTTTTTACAAGGAATCATGTTTGCATAGACCACAATACCTGCAGTCATAATGCAAACAAAAAACATAACTCTGATGTATGCACTGTCCTTGAAGTTGATTGGTCCACACCCGAGACAGCTTTCCTTAGAGCCTAGTCTCACATGGTGTTGGACCATGTGATGCAAACATGACTCCTTGTAAAACAAAAAGATGTCAGTTTTGTTGCCAGATAAAAGGGTAAAAAAACCAATTATTATATTTTTTACTGACAAATGAGGTTCCAATGGGACAAAAAGCAGTTTTAAAGAAATACATTTTCAATCTAGATGACTTAAAGTGCATAGCTCCAGTGGCTTCCGAATATCGGAAGCTTCTTTGTCATCTAATGTGAATGTTTTTGTTCTTACTTTTTATTGACACAGATGTGTAATTTAACAAAATCTTCAATATCAATTATTCACTTTTGATTTAATTTTCTGGTAACGCCACATATAGTGACCTGGCAAAATCTATGTCGTGAAACCCTCCACCAACCGGCGCATAGCCAAAGTAATTAGTCATGCGCGCAAGTGTTTAAAGGGCCAAATTATTATTGTTCATTATTGTAAGTTGACGAACAATTCTCATAGCCAGATGTAGCAACGAGATATGATGGTTCACTCAAAACTATGCAAAGGTTGTATTTAGAACAAGATCTAGGAAGTCAGAATGTCACCTGACCTGGCTTCTTAAATCGGTGTCATGACCTCACAAGAACAACCAATCTGACGTAAAGGGGCCGTCCATAAATGACGTCACGCACCTAGGGGGGGCGGGTCAGACATTTGTGACGATGTGTGACGAGGGGGGGGGGGTTGAGAAATGTGACGTCACATCAAAATGCGCAACTTTACATAAATATAGACAACACGTTCTACTTAATTAAATAGACTTTTTAATAAATGTTTTCTCCTACAACATCAGAGTGCAGCGCCACATTAAATACGCACTACAATGACAATAGTTTAAAGCCATTTGAAGCATGTTTTATATTTGGGGGGGGGGGGGCAGAGCTTTGCGACGTCATATTTGAGGGGAGGGGGGTCTGATTTTTTGTGACGCCGTGTGTCGAGGGGGGAGGGTCAAAAATCGTCTTAAATGGCGTGACGTCATTTATGGACGGCCCCAAAGGTCATGGATCAGCACGGTTGACTATGTACGGTGCGAAAGAATATACAAAATAAAGATAGGTTTTTACTATTTCTGGCAATAGAACAAGTATTGAAATAAATATTGTAATGTTCTAACACCAAATAGAAACCTTTGTGCAACGAATCATGTCTGAATTAACCGCACACAGTGCTTGTGGTGACCGTGCAAACAAACATTCTCTGATAATTGTCGCGTTCTCTGTCCTGACTGCCACTGGTGGCACCAGGCCAGTGCAGGCCAATCAGTGCGAGAGAATTTCTACATACGGACACACATGCAGTATTCCACTCTTTAGAGGGTCTATTGTTCTAGAATGTTTCAATTATGAGCAGACTCAACTATGTTTTGTACAGAATCTCATCTCTATAACCTTTTTATGGCGTATTTAGACTTTACATACCTCACAACTAGCTAGCTGTATATATTATATGCGAATACATTTTGATGAATGTCTCATCTGGATTAATTCCGTATGCAAAAAGCCAGCTGACCTTTCTACGCAAAAATAAAAAAACTTTCTGACCACGTGCCTCTACTGGACATCTGTGAAAAAGTGCTTCATAGCTCCTCGAATTTTTCCCACAGTCTAAATAAAGATTCTGATGCCGTGTCTAGGGTGGCAATTGAACGTACGTACGTTGAACTTCTTTCACACCGTACGTAGCCAACTGTGCTCATCGGAGGGGCGGGAAATTGATCCCGAGTTGAACGTTGAAATGCGCGCGATTAAAACCCACACTTTTTGCAATTTGTGTTTCTTGCAACAATTTTTTCTCCCCGTCAGCATCCGTGTGCGGCCCGCCTCCTGACCAACCTCACGCCAAGGTGAAGATTCCCGCCGGGCACGTCCACGGCCGCCGATACGACGTCCACGAGTACGTCTACGTCGCTTGCGACGATCGCTTCAAGAGCCTCGCCGGCGGATACTACATGTCGTGCGAGAAAGACGGCAGTGGCGCAGCCGCGTGGTCCGTGGACAGTTACCTCGGGTGCACACGTGAGTACGCTCCCGTGCGGCACCTCGCGCACGCGCGGACACGTGTCACGCGATGCCGGTGGCGCGTGTGGCGCAACTGTGCGCGCGGTGGCGGTGGTGGCGGTGGTGGTGGCGACGGTGGTGGTGGTGGTGGTGGTGGCAGCAGTGGCGGCGGTGGCGGCGGTGGTGGTGGCAGTGGCGGCGGTGGCGGTGGTGGCGGTGGTGGCGGTGGTAGCGGTGGCGGTGGTGGCGGTGGCGGCGGTGGCGGTGGTGGTGGTGGCAGTGGTGGTGGCGGCGGTGGTGGTGGTGGTGGTGGTGGCGGTGGTAGCGGTAGCGGTGGCGGTGGTGGTGGTGGCGGCAGTGGTGGCGGTGGTAGCGGTGGCGGTGGTGGCGGTGGTTGCGGTGGTGGTGGCAGTGGTGGTAGCGGCGGTGGCGGTGTTGGCGGTGGTGGCGGTGGTAGTGGTGGCGGTGGCGGTGGTGGCGGTGGTGGCGGTGGCGGTGGTAGCGGTGGCGGCGGCGGCGGTGGCGGCGGTGGTGGTGGTGGCGGTGGTGGTGGCAGTGGTGGCGGCGGTGGCGGCGGCGGTGGTGGCGGCGGTGGCTGTTTGACTGTCGCGTGGAGGAAACGACGGTGCCGGAATTTCGGTCGACGGGAATTTTGCGAAATCACCGAGTCCACCGGTGTTCAGATTCCTTCCAATGCCGATGGCACATCGCACCAACGGCGTGCCACCGGGTGACATCGCCGAGCACGCCACCCCACCCGTCCTCTGCAGTATATTTTAATAAGTGGACGAGACGCTCCCATTCCCTGTATCTTTACCTCGACACAGGGTAAAAGTACTTTTGTTATCAGAGGTCACCAGCCACACGTCCATGTGTGTGTGCGTAACTTCTGCAGCATTGCTTCAACACAATCAAATGCCGGACCGCTTTCAACTTTCAATGTCTCATCAGGTCTGGTTCCTTAATTCTGCTACTTATATTGGCCACAACAACGATGACGCCAGTGGGAGGTGGCACCCCCCCCCAATGATCCGATCAAAATTCATAATTTCCATCGGATCATTGGGGTTTATTAGTAATAAATCGGCATTTGCGACCCCCACTGCCCCCTGTGTAGCATATTATGACGTGCCAGGGACTCGATGAGATGATAGGACAATAGTCTGAGTGCATAATTGGCAATAAGTAACGTCAAAGCGGTTATAAGTGACTCACGGAATTGTGCGCAGTTGCGTCTACAGTCCACGACTTCCCTGGAGGCATCAACACCTTCAGCGAGCGCGATGCCGATCACACAACGCGGTTCGAATTCGACCCTCGATCGATGGCTGCGCCATCGCCGCACACGCATCGAATATAAAGCAAGGGACAAGTCCTTACTCACTAACAACTCCTCTATCATTTTTCATTGCTGGAGGGGTTGCACCCCCCTCCTACCTGAAGATCCTGGCTCCGCCATTGGATGGCTCACGATTGTTTTTTGCGGCGTATTTCAGGGCAGTCAGCAAAAAGTGAAAGATCCTCGCTAGCTCACGGCGACAGTAAAAATAAAGCCAGTTATTATTTTCGTGACCACTTTCTGCCCCGCCCCCTCTCCCCCCACTGCCGAGGCCTACTATATAACCTCGTGCCACGGCAGATCTCTCGCCTACTTCAGCAGTTGTTTCTTGCTGTGGTTGTCCCACCTGATGACGATTGCCTGCGTTGCAATTGAAACGTCGTGATCTATTATTTTTCTACCCACGTGACTTTACCGAAAGAAGAGTATGGATTCCTGCAGTCGCGAAAGCTTCAAATCGAGATTGAGCACCGTTTTCTTTTTCTATGCATCTTTGACCCACCAGCCGAACTGTGCTATGCGCCCGGGGAAGTTGAGCACGGATTCTGGAGCGGAAACATCGCTCTCGGGGGCTCCATCGAGTTCTCGTGTCAAAAACAGTGAGTGAGTGATGCGCCCGTGCCCCTTGTTGTACCTCATCGACTTGCGCAGAGATGTGTTGACTGCTTATGCATTTTCTAACTTGTATTCTCCACGACGACACTGTGTTGGCGAGCAAACGAATTGTAAATGTTGTAGTGGGGTTACTCTTCAACACACCCGTGTGCTGTACTAGTAACGAATTTGGCACGTTCTGTTTACGTGGCAAACCTTACTAATTGGCTGTGTCGGGTGGTGGCGGGTTTAACGACACATTTATATTTCGAGTTAAAGCTTTCGTGACTGCAGGGATTCATCTTCTTCATTTATATTCGCGCGATCTCACACAAAACGCCTATATAATGGATCCTATTGGTTGCGAAAGCCGACGTGTTAAACGTTTCTTATCTCAACGTTTTTTCGAGAGTGCCTTAACCAAGGCGCTTTACAAAGACTTAGCAACGGTGCAATGCGCGTGAACGTAACGGAGGAGAAGAGGGCGAATGAAATAGATGGGAGGAAGCAATGGCGGCGAATCTGTGACGCGTGAAGTTGGTGAAAGCGAAATTGATGACAGCAGATGATGATGAATGGATTGAATGAATGAGTGTTAGCCGAGTCATGATAATATTAAGTGGGAACAGTGGCAGTGGTGGTGGTGGTTATGAGGGGGAGATTAAGGGGGGGGGGGGGGTCGGTCGTGGGGGTGAGTTGTGAACACTAAGTGTGAGTTCTGAGTGGGGAGTGGACACGAGTGAGTGAAGGTGACTGCTTCGTGTGGAGGGGAAGTTGGTTCCGCTGAAGGGGGGCGAGAGGAGAGGAAGAGCGAACGCGCGGACTGAGCCTTCGATTCGTTGTCCGTGCTTGTGCACCGCTGCCGACGTAGCAGCAGCAGCAGGAGCATCGTCCGACGAGTTGTTTCACTTCTTCTGCAGCTTCACCTTGCGCGGAGCCAGCAAGCTGACCTGTGACCCAGCCACGAAGAAATGGTCGTCGACAGCTCCGCGCTGCGAGCGTGAGAAACCGCCGTTAAATCCTCCACCTTTCAGAACGCGCGTGGGCTTCGAACCTCGCGGGACGCACGCACGCACGCACACACACACGCACGCACGCACACACCCACGCACACACACGCACGCACACACACGCACTCACACAGGCACACACACGCACACACACATGCACGCACATGCACGCACGCACAGGCACGCACACACACACACATGCACGCACATGCACGCACGGACGCACGCGCACACACACACGCACACACACACACGCACGCACACACACGTACGCACACGCACGCACGCACACGCACGCACACACACACGCACGCACACACGCACACACACACGCACACACATACACGCACACATGCACACGCACGCACTCATGCACTCACACACGCACGCACACACATACACGCACACACACACGCACGCACACATGCACACGCACGCACTCACGCACACACGCACACACACATGCACACGCACGCACACACACATGCACACACACACATGCACACACACGCACACACGCACGCACACACGCACACACACACACGCACACACGCACGCACCCACGGGGACGGTGCAGAGGAGCGAGGCGTGTGTGTGCGTGCGTGTGACGAGAGAAGCCGCGTCCACTTTAAGACGGAATAGAAGGGGAAGCTCTTGAGCCTGGGCCTAACGGTGAAGTCGGCAGTGCGGGTGACTGGCGGAACAGGGTTCTAGACTGTAGGAACAGCAGAGGAGAAGGGGTTTTTATTGAGTGGAGTTTGACCGAGGGCTTCACCAGCAGACGCGGGTTGATGGAGTCGGGTTAGATGCCAGGCAAGGGCGTAAGCTGCAGCAAGACCGCTTCGATCTCAAACTGGGTGGTGTTTTGGCTACGCACAGCACTCGCAAGCAGACGTTAAATCAATGAACCCACGTCCGTCCTTCCGTCCGAAAGTCAAAATAAAACATTATTCTACAACCTATGGGCTTTGGGACCAATATTGTCCAGGAGGATTTTTTTGTATGCAAGCTGTATGCTGGTTTCACCACTCCACAATACAGGTGTCTTGGGTTAGATTGCGTAAATATGAATACGAGTACAGATTGTAAATGTTGTGGTACTCAGATTGTAAATGTTGTGGCTTTGCTTTCTAACACACTGGTGTTGCTGTACTCGTGACGAATTGGCCACGTTCTGTTTACATGATAAACCTTACTAGTTGGCTGTGTCGGGTGGTGGCGGGTTTAACGACACGTTTATATTTACGCGATCTAACCCAAAAAAACTCTATTATGGTGGATATTGGTCACTAAAGGTCTCCTACGAGGTGTTAAAGTGGTCCCATCGGCAGTGCCCGGCATATTAAACAAACAATGCTGAGTCGCACTGGCCTCTGGCACCCAGGTGTTACACGTCATCCGTGGAGACCTTTCTCAGCACAACAGCCAGATTCGAGATGAAAATAACTCCTGAGCAAAATATCAGCCAGAGGTTCAACTCAGCCCATCATCATCATCATCACACTGGCGTCAACAAATGAGTAACCGTTTGTGGGAAGTATATGGAGGTCTGACTTTGAGTTGGGAGGTGGATTCCACGGCCCTCACCATAGGAATGTGGAATATTCACAGTTGGCCTAGAGCTATAAAGTGATGAGCATAGCTAAACGCCGATGTTGAGTGGGAGATGCTTTGGCTTGTGACTCTGACCGGTAATATTGATCCAGGAGTAGAACGGTGGCCTTCTCTCACAATGGATAAAGCGGCCGTGGCGTCTTTCATTCACAGAGACCTCCAACGCAACGCAGAGTAGCAACCACAGCGTGGGGGAGACACCTCGCCAAGGCAGCCCCACTCGAGGCCCAACTCAGAGGACGTCGTCGCCAACGCACGAGGGTAAGGTGCCATCCGCGCTACTCAACAGAGCTGCGGATGAGACTCTTGTCGCTATCCGCACGCACACACACACACGTCCGTTTCGTTTTAAGAGCCGCATTACAGATACAGAGGACTCCGTGTGTGCGTTTCGAGTCTTTTCTTTTTTTATCCGAAAACATATTGAAACCTTGCCGAGTTAATCTTTTGTCTCCGCAGCCAACAGCACGGCGCAGGTTCAACTTCCCTGGGGTGAAACTGTGTCACCCAATCAACCCATGTCACCCAATCAACCCATGTCACCCAATCAACCCAGGCCAGCCAATCAACCCAATCAACCCAGGCCACCCAATCAACCCAGGCCAGCCAATCAATCCTTGCCACCCAATCAACCCAGGCCAGCCAATCAACCCAATCAACCCAAGCCACCCAATCAACCCATGCCACCCAATCAACCCATGTCACCCAATCAACCCAGGCCAGCCAATCAATCCAGGCCACCCAATCAACCCAGGCCAGCCAATCAACCCCTGCCACACCATCAACCCTTGCAGTCCAATAAACCCTTGCCGCCCAATCAACCCTTGCCACCCAATAAACCCTTTCCAGCGAATCAACCCTTGCCAGCCAATTAACCCAGGCCACCCACTCAACCCTTGCCGCCCAATCAACCCTTGCCACCCAATAAACCCCTGCCACACCATCAACCCTTGCCACCCAATCAACCCAGGCCAGCCAATCAACCCATGCCACCCAATCAACCCCTGCCACACAACCCTCGCCACCCAATCAACCCATGCCACCCAATCAACCCATGCCACCCAATCAACCCAGGCCACCCAATCAACCCTTGCCACCCAATCAACCCAGGCCACCCAATAAACCCAGGCCACCCAATCAAGCCAGGCCAGACAATCAACCCATGCCACCCAATCAACCCAGGCCACACAATCAACCCAGGCCACCCAATCAACCCTTGCCACCCAATCAACCCAGGCCACCCAATCAACCCAGGCCACCCAATCAACCCAGGCCAGCCAATCAAACCATGCCAGCCAATCAACCATTGCCACCCAATCAACCCAGGCCACCCAATCAACCCTTGCCAGCCAATCAACCCATGCCACCCAATCGACCCATGCCACCCAATCGACCCAGGCCACCCAATCAACCCATGCCACCCAATCAACCCAGGCCACCCAATCAACCCAGGCCACCCAATCGACCCAGGCCACCCAATCAACCCAGGCCACCCAATCAACCCAGGCCAGACAATCAACCCAGGCCACCCAATCAACCCAGGCCACCCAATCAACCCAGGCCAGCCAATCAAACCATGCCAGCCAATCAACCCAGGCCACCCAATCAACCCTTGCCACCCAATCGACCCATGCCACCCAATCGACCCAGGCCACCCAATCAACCCAGGCCACCCAATCAACCCAGGCCAGACAATCAACCCAAGCCACCCAATCAACCCAGGCCACCCAATCAACCCAGGCCAGCCAATCAAACCATGCCAGCCAATCAACCCAGGCCACCCAATCAACCCTTGCCACCCAATCGACCCATGCCACCCAATCGACCCAGGCCACCCAATCAACCCATGCCAGCCAATCAACCCAGGCCACCCAATCAATCCATGCCAGCCAATTAACCCTTGCCCCACTATCAACCCTTGCCACCCAATCAGCCCAGGCCACCCAAGCAAGTCCGTGAGGAAGCAATCGCAGGGATTTCATGTTTTTTGTTGCGTCTCGGTCCAGAGGGAACTGCACACCTCAGACGCACAGCAGCGGCAGTGCGCGGACGATGGACGCGGCTCCTTTCCCCGTTGCGTTGCATTTCAACTTCCACAATTAACTCCGCGTTCCTGACGTTGGTGATTGTCTGAAACGTTCTGACGGTGTTTAACGTGCCACGCAGTTGCACGCGGAAAGAAAAGGTGTCCGTCGTGTGAAGGCGGTGCGTCAATAAATGAAGCGCGCAACCTCTGCTCGGATTGGCAATTGTCGGCGCAGGTGGCTTCTGCCGAACTGATTTGAATGTGAAATGGTGAAACACGGTAGCGGTAATCCAGGCCCAGTTACACGCGGATAAACGGAATCTGCGATGCTTTCGTTTCACCGTAGCTGGCCTGTAACATTGCAGGGTTCAAGTTGAGTTTTCTTTAGCCCAGGAAAGAGTCCAGGAAAGAGTCTCATTTGCAAGAGGGGACCTGGGTCACAAAAAAACGACAAAGTGCAACAATATGAAAACGGAGTACACCTGCGGAGGGAGCGTGCCAAGCGGGGCGTCGCCACCCACGACACTCGCTGGCGAGGATAACGGGCGCGAGTTACTGACAGCGGTGGACCGGCGGTGGCGTCTGAAGCGGTCTATACGTAGCGGTGACGCGGGGGGAAAGCGACGGAAGAGATTTAAAGAGACCCTGAAAGTGACACAAAATCGGCAAACGGCAGAAAGATGCGACAGTGTGTTTGACGAGGGAGCGGACACTTATTTATTTATTGATCAGCTTCTGAGCAAAGGGGCGTTGGGAAGGAATTCCGACTTGGAGCGGTGCAGGAGAATAAGCAACTGTGACGAAAATGAGTCTTGAGCAAATGTACAGTTAGGGCCGTTCATTCATCTCGCCTGTCATATTTGACAAGGTAAGGCCCTCTGAGCTACAGAATTCTCGATTTGAAGCTTTCGTGACTGCAGGGATTCATGTTCTTGGTTTTTTCGGTAAAGTCACGTAGAAGGGAAATAATAAAATAATAAAAATAAAACATAAAATACAATTCTCACGACGTTTCGGCCACAACGCAAGCAGCCGTTCTCAGGTGAAGAACAGGGCTGTCGGAAAGACAGCGTCTGAATGAACACCACCAAGCTTGGCAGCGTATATTTAAGCTGGGTTAGAGGAGGAGGGCGCCTTGACAAATGCAAAATTCTGTTGATATGCAAATTCCTTTGTCAAGGCGCTCTCCTCCTCTAACCCAGCTTAAATATACGCTGCCAAGCTTGGTGGTGTTCATTCAGACGCTGTCTTTCCGACAGCCGTGTTCTTCACCTGAGGACGGCTGCTTGCGTTGTAGCCGAAACGCCGTGAGAATTGTATTTTATTATGTTTTATTTTTATTGTTTTATTATTTCCCTTCTACGTGACTTTACCGAAAGAACCAAGAAGACTACAGAACTCTTTTTCTGGGAATCGACCTGGCCACAAATGATAGCTCAACGAAGCGGCTTACCAGCCAAACGCGTGATATCCATTCTAAATGTGGAGAGGAAAACCGGAGGACCCGGAGAAAAATCCACGCGACCACGGGAAGACGGACACGCAAACTCCAAATATACAATAAGTGTCAGGGTCGGGATCAAATCCACGACCCCCTGCATACCAGGCGAGGTAGTTAACATCTTGCCACTGGCCCAGATGGTACTCTGGTCAGGGCACTTGACGCGCAATCTGAAGTTTATGAGCACAAATCCCAGTGGGGTCACCTGGCGCTCTCTTCCCTGCTTGGGTCACAAACGTCTTACTCAGAGACCTTGTTATGTGGTTCTCGCTGGCAGAATGTGGAGTTTGCACCTAGAGCCCCATTGTTGTTTTAGAGCAGGAAGACCCTTTGACCCGGCCGTGAGGGTTTAGTTGTGTCGCGTTTCAGTGCCTGATGCGCGTGACGAGCTGCAAAACGAGCGGCTCTCTCCTGTGACGTCAGCGTGGCGCGTGACCAATGAGAGTGGTGCGTAGCAATTCGTTGCTCGCCGTTGTGGAGCATTCTGGGTGATACATGCGCATAGGCCGATAGGGGCGCCGTCCATAAATGACGTCACGCGATTTTGGACGGTTTTTGACTCCCGCCCTCGTCAGACGGCGTTACAAAAAGTCAGACCCCCCCTCAAATATGACGTCACAAAACTGCCCCCCCAAAATGCTTCAAATTGCTTTAAACTATTGTCATTGTAGTGCGTATTTAATGTGGCGCTGCACTCTGATGTTGTAGGAGTGTTATAAGAATTAGTGGTGTTACAACAATTAATGTTGCGACATATTCTTGGTTCTTTCGGTAAAGTCATGTAAATCGAAAAAAATAAAAAAATGTTATGACAATTCAATATTTAATTAAAGTTGCGCATTTTTATGTGACGTCACATTTATCAAACCCTCCCCCCCTCTCGTCACACATCGTCACAAATGTCTGACCCCCAACCTAGGTGCGTGACGTCATTTATGGACGGCCCCTAGATTAAAACTATAAATACATGAATGTGGGGACACGCGGTTTCCGAGTGAGGTAGCTGGGTTCGACTCCAGCTCGTTCAGAACGCAGCTGCGAGGGTTGCTACACGCCACAGGGACCGTCCATAAAGGACGTCACGTTCCTAGGGGGGGGGGGGGGTCAGACATTTGTGACGATGTGTGACGAGGGGGGGGGGGGGGGTTGAGAAATGTGACGTCACATCAAAATGCGCAACTTTAAATAAATATAGACAACACGTTCTACTTAATTAAATAGACTTTTTAATAAATGTTTTCTCCTACAACATCAGAGTGCAGCGCCACATTAAATACGCACAACAATGACAATAGTTTAAAACGATTTGAAGCATTTTTATTTTTTGTGGGGGAGGGGGGGGGGTAGAGCTTTGTGACGTCATATTTGAGGGGGGGGGGTCTGACTTTTTGTGACGCCGTGTGACGAGGAGGGGGGGGGGGGGGTCAAAAAATCGTCCAAAATCGCGTGACGTCATTTATGGACGACCCCCTTGTCTCTGCGCTGGCTTAGCGGTCAAGTGCCGAGTGAACTCCGAGATCCTACTGCTGATTGATGAGCCTACAAGGCTCTCGGTGGGTAGTTCACCCCACAACATTTGCAGCCACTGATCCCATCGTCATTCTCCAACGAGGTTTCTGAGATTACTCTTTGGTTCTTTCGGTAAAGTGACGTATAAAGAGAAAATAATAAATTAAATAATAGCATACGACGTTTCGATTGCAACACAAGCAATCATCATCAGGTATAAATGAAATAGAAACACAAATCTAGTATACTTAGAAATGGAATGTAATACAACAGAGAGTCGGATAACATAACAGTCAACACCCTACCTGGTTGATTACGTTCTTCCTGAGAATGCTAAATTTGAGAGAGAGATAAAACACAGAACCAGAGACATAGACAGACATATAAGCAGACAGATATCACAGAGAGAGACAAACATAGGCACACAGAGAAACCACGCCTCTGTGTCGAGGCCTTAAATAGAGGGGGCGGGGGCGGAGAGACAGGGGGGGGTTAGAGAAATTAGCATGTCAATGAGTGGCACGGTGAGTTACACGGTGCAAAAGCTTGGGAAAATTAGGAGACCTGGGGAGACACACTGAATTAAATTACCTAGCAAAATTTCGAAATGTAATGTAATGCAACACAGAGAGTCGGTCAACACACAATTAACGCATAGCCTGGTTGATTACGTTTTTCAAAGATTGCTAAGTTAGAAGTTAAGTGTGAAATTTTAAAGAGAGAAATTAAGTTTGAGGTTTTTGAGACCTTGGTTGAGATCGCCACTCAACGACAACAGCGACACCGTCGCTGGGGATTGAACTCAGGTCATTATAGATGCACGTGAAGCGAGCACTCTGCCATTGAGCTACATCCCTACCGTTGGGCCTCGGATTAGTCATGAAAACGAATCGTGAAGATGTGACTCTAACGTGTCCTGTCCCAACCATGATCATTTCAAACGACAACAGTTGTATCTTAACTTGTGTAGCATCGCGAAAGCTGTTTTTTATACACATTAGGGGTTCATATTCTTGGGTTTTTTCGGTAAAGTCACGTACGTAAAAAAATAAAATGAAAATTAATAAAAGTAAAATAAAAATAATAAAAATCACGACGTTTCGGAGGCAACACAAGCCTCCGTCTTCAGGTGGAACCGTCACAGCACGCTCGCTGTATCAAGTAAATGAGAAGTTCCAAGAGATCCGACCCCGTATATATACTGGTTGAGGGGGGAGGAGCCAGGAAAGGCCTCTGGATATGAGTTTTTTTTATTATTATGGTAAGGTTGGTGCGGATGAAGCTACGGATAGTCTACATAACAAAGGACTGAGCCCTTCAAATCTATAACACATTAGGGGGTTGGTCATGGGCAGACGGCCTTAATTCTTGACGTGAACGGGCACAAGAACGATGAGCAGAAGTGAATTCCAGCAGAGAATTAGTAACCAACCAACGAGCAGAGGTTAACCGAGTTTGAGTTGATTTGATGCGCTGCACAGATAGCCCCGTTTAGCCAATCGCCCTGCTGTTTCACGAGGGAAATCAGTGGTGTGTGAGTACAGCAGCAACACATAGGCAAGGACATGGATAGAAGTGAGAGTTTAGACCAGGGGTCCTCAAACTACGGCCCGCGGGCCACATGCGGCCCGCCGAGGACATTTATCCGGCCCATGGTCACTAATTTGGCTGCAGCTTGTGAGCACTGATTGGGCTGCGCTGGTGAGCACTCATTGGGCTGCGGTGGCGAGCACTGATTGAGCTGCGGCGGTGGGCACTCATTGGGCTGCGGCGGTGGGCACTCATTGGGCTGCGCTGGTGAATGGTTCAATGGGCCAATTGACTGGACTTGCCCCCCAGGCCTAAGGCTGCCAGCCCTCCCCTGGCTGTGCTTGACTGGCTCTCCCTCCCTCAGCTCCCTCACTTGCCCCTCGGCTCCACTCCCAGTGATATTCCTGTGTGCTGGGGATGTAGATCCCCAGCACACCCACCGCTGAGTAAATGATAGAGGGGTAATAACAGAGTGATCTCTGATCTCTGGAGGCGCTGCCTGCTGTTTTCCCGTGCTGGTCAGTGACAGACAGCCGAAGAGTAGGAAACCCAATTTAAATAACAGTAAGTGCATTTATATTCTGATTGCTATTCAGTTGTATGAGGTTATATGTTGTATGTTGTGTAAGCCCCGGTTCATACTGTTGCGATATCTGAGCAGTGCGAGTTCAGCCATATGCTTGTATGGCTGAACTTGCATTAGATTCGGAAGAAAAAAGGCACATGTGCCTTCTTTTTTCCTGCAGTGGAATCGGATCGCATGGGTCTTCTCCCGCATGCGATCAGATTTCTATGCGAGTTCGCAGATCGCACTGCGATCTGTGACCAAAACTGCAGGTGTAATTAACTTTTTAATGGCACCCGCACCAGTGTGAGCTTGGGGTAAAAGCGGAGTTCCCCCAATCAGACTGCATTGATGGGCAGTGCAGTCTGTATGTCTCTGTTTGGGCAAAGTTATTGCTGGTATATTGTTTTTGTAGCGCTCTATATATATTGGTATTTTACTAATAGCAATTTTGACTCCCTAGGCAACAATGATGTCAAGAAAGAGAAAAATTGACTCGGAGTGTAGGATATTCAAAGAACAGTGGACTTATGATTACTTTTTCATGCAGTACAAGGAAAGAGCTGTTTGTCTGATATGCCAGAATATAGTGTCTGTGTTCAAAGAATACAATTTACGTCGACACTATGAAACTCAACATTAAGATAAATATGATTGTTTGGTCGGAGAAATGAGAAAAGATAAAATATTAAAACTGAAAAATACATTAACAACTCAGCAAAATACTTTTGTGAAGCAGAAGCAGCTAAATATTTCATCACTGCGAGCAAGTTTTCAAGTTTCCAAGCTAATAGCGTGCTCTGGCAGACCATTCGTGGATGGAGAATTTGTTAAAGAATGCCTTCTTTCTG